TTCGTTGATTATGTCGTTGATATCACCTACAAAAAGCTACTTGTGGTTAATTACTATTGAATTTTAAGATATCGGGTCTTCAAAAAAAAAAAAAACCAATCAAAGATTGCTATGGTTTTTTAAACGTATGTCTTAGCAATATATGTCTTTAATTTTATCAATGAAATTTAATGTCAAAATGTCATGTCAAAAATCCTGACGAATAAAGAAACAGTAATGCGACGTACGTTTTCGTAGTCAAAGCAATCTTCGATTGTTTTTTTTTTTGGAAGACCCGATATGTTCCCACTAGCATTTCTGAAGTAGTATTGACCAATCAGATGAGAATTTTAATACTTGCAATTGTTGCGAGACTCATTTTTGTCGTTTCTGCTGCCCCTTCTAATACATTCTGAACTTGAATTGGGTACCCGTTTTCTATTTGCATCTTTTTGAGTTGGAAAAAGGTTAATATAGTCAAAATTATTAGCTGTGTTTGTTCGTTGTATCATTTTCTACTTTGACAAACTAATTGATGACAGTGACGGATTCTATTTCAGGTGAGAATTTTATGAACAATAATTAGACAGCAATTTTTTTGTCAATTTTGCTATCACCGCTGTTTGAGATGTATTCAACAAGGATAGAGAAAAATCACGTGACTTTAAAATGGTATGTGTTGGACTATATTGTCACGAAACGTCTCTGTTTTGCTGTGTAGCTCGACTATTCACCCTGAAAAGCAGAACGGGAAGGGAGGAGTAACAGGGAAACACCAGAACAGTTTTAAATAGCTAATATATATTGTTACAGGACGGAGATTACGGAAACATGAATATTTAGTTATTACCACATCATCGTCATCTGGGACCAGATAACGTCCCTTCGGGTGGTGAGGCTCAAAAAAAGGGCGGACAGTCAAACGTCGGGTATACCCCTGCAAAGCTAAACAACCAAACCAGCCCTACAGAAAAATCTAGAAAGCCTTTTCACTGTAGGTCAAAGCCTGGGTCGTCAGAGAGTATCTGCCCTGATAGAGATACGATAGCGTATTAACTTTATCAGTCCAGATAGTTCTCCAACTTTGAGTCGTCTCTAAAAACCTACTGATTGCAGCGAAGCGCTGAGACACGACTGATTTGCCATAGTGTGGCCCGGGCTTTTATATCCAATATTTGCTGACTATGATTAGGTTAATTTGTGTTTTCTTGCTTAGTTGCAGTTATTTGTTATAACCCGTGGTTCAGTGTATTGAATTTGGTTATAGCCCGTGGTCCCATGTAGGGTTGACAATATCTTGAATCACACAATAATATTTGTGTTGTGCGCCGTGCGTTCTTGCTCAAAACGGGTGCGGCGGTGGTGTATATGGCTTTCCTAAGCTTTGTATCCATTCTGGCAATTCTAGGTCCAAACATTCAAAATTATTTGTAGACATACGCAAATTTTTTTTGAAATGCCTTGTACTTTCATCCATAGATAGAATATTCAATAATGTGCTACCATCGGAGTGTTTCTCATGCTGATACAAAAACTTAATCCAATAGCTCCTGGTTTTGTTTCTTTTTTTCTCTTCCTTTTTCTTAATAAGAAGGCACATAACGATGAAAGCTGCACATTTTTTTTACAGTATTATCAATCCATCAGAAGACAATCACAGATTCACAATTTGTCAAAATCGATGCGTTCGCGAAAACATATGTCCACACTAGAACGGTGTTGCGCCGCAAATCCCTTTGATGTTTTGGTAAAAAAACCGACAACACGCGGATCGCGTGCGTTGAATGCCGCGAAAATTTTTGCGTGCGTCCGTATGCGGCGAACAAGTCCACACTCGCATAAATTTGTATCGCACACACAAATTTGTGCCGAATGCCACGTACAACGTAAATTTTTACTGATGTGGACGCGGCTTTATGTGCATGCAGTGCCGCAGGCGAAAAAGCAATTCCTTTAATTAGGGAAGAATGTGTATGACGAATGGACTGCCGAAGAACAAGATCCCGCTCACCCTACAATGTCATATGCTGCAACCAAAAGAGGTTGGATGGAGAGTTCAGTTTTTTACAATTATTTCAAAAAGAATTTAATCAAACAGTTTGGAGACCGTAGACCGATCTTGCTGATCTACGATGGCCACTCTACTCATGTTGGCATCGATTTGAAAAAAGAAGCGATGGCACAAGAAATTGTCATCCTGAAATTGCCGCCTCACTCAAGTCATATCCTACAACCGCTTGACATTGCAGTTTTTAAATCACTCAAAGCTACTTGGGATGTGAAGCTCGTGAAATGGCAAAGATTGAACCCAGGAAAGAAAATTATAAAGAAATCCTTTGCAGTCATGATAAAAGAGATTTGGGAGGAGGCAAACCCAATCTTGATTCCTAACGGATTTAGGAAGGCTGGGATCTACCCCTTCGATAATACAGTTGTTCCCAAAGAAAAGTTTGACCCTCTAGCTTTCCAGAGATGGGAAAACCATCTTAAAAATGAGGCGCATGGCTGAGACCAGTGTTAACAACAACGACAATAATATGGACAATGAGCCAAGTACTGATAATGTGAGTGTTGAACCAGAGCCCAGTACCAGCAGTGCAAATATATTGCCACTTACTAGCAGTAGCGCTAACCTCGGCGTTTCATTTGAAGAAATAATGCTGTCAACATTGATGCAAAATAAAACTACACAAGATGCATCTAAACCAAAGAAACGGGTTGCAAGCGGTGCGGAAGTAATAACTAGAAACGAAGTGATAGAAAGGCTGCAAGATACTCAAAAAAAAAGACTGTAAAGAAAAAAGACAAGAAGACTGAAGACGATCTCACAACGCCAAAGAAAAAAACCAAAGAAAAAATCCCAACCAAAGATTATGGGAGAGTCAGAAACTGATGAAGAAGAAGCCATTGATAATATGTGTGAAGATGAATCTGATGCATCTTTGGATGGAATATTTGACGAAATGGAGAAAGAAAATGAGGAAGCTCGAGAATTAGAACGGCAAATAGCAGACATGCGAGAAGCTGATTGGGTGCTAGTGAAATTTCCAGGAAAGAAAAGCGTCAAGTATTATGTTGGTTAGGTTTTGCCGAAAGATCCTGACACTCAAGAGGACGAAGCGCGCATAAAGTTTACCAGGAAAAAGGATTCTAGTCCAAGATCTGTTTTTAAGTTTCCATTGGTTGACGATATTGGCCATATTTTAAAAACCGACGTCATTAAGCTACTTCCAGCACCTAAGATCTGTAGGAGTGGTGAAATAACATTTGACGTGTCATTTTCTGGATATTCTATGCAAAAAGAATTATTTTTTCAATGTAATCGGGTTTGTAACTTTTTTAGAATAAAGATTTTTAAATTTTGCAAGTAGGGTTTTGAAGGTTTTTTTTAATACGAATAACGCTCTTATCCCAATATAAAGATATTGCAATATAATAGAGATTATTTCATTCATTATAAAATAGACCCATCAGACAACGTCATTTTTTGAATAAATTTTGTTTAAATAAGTGATTATTTCACAAGACCTGTTTATCAGCGATTAAATTTTTGTTTACCTTTTTTGACAGAATTTTGATAGAAATATTCTGACATTTTATAATAAATAGAACTCTTTTGATAGGATTGACGCCAACAATTCAATCCTAATTATTCAGGAAATAATCTAGCCGTATACCACTCGACCTATAAATTTAAATGGATTAAACTATCCAAAAATTTTTTGCATTATTTTGCTTTTTGGCAAATAGTTTCATGCACAATACACTTTTATATTTTAAATAAATTGTTTTTAAAAAGTTAAGTTTCTAATATGAATACATAATTGGCGCAATCGTGCGGATTTTTGAATTTTGATTCTCAGAGTGCGTTAAACTGAGTAAAGCTGAAAACACTTCAAACCGCGAAAAATTTCAAAAAACTGAAACCTGGTCTCGCGAAAGACTTTGGATTGCAGTGCAAATTTTTGGATTAAAGTGAATTTGGTTCAGTGATACCCACTTTTTATTCAAATAAGTTAACTGAGAATAAGAAACATTGAAAGACCAACGTGTGGAAAAGGTCTACAGTTATTGTATTGTCACAGTAAGTAATCCCATCTTTCTACAATTTGTGATTGGTTTCATAGTTAAGGCATGATATAGATACATAATTAACTTACTTCAAACTTCAATAACAATAAACAATAATTATTCAAATTTCGTTTATTTACAAAACTGGTATAATCAAATTTTTCTCACTAGCTAGCTACACTAAATGACTAAAGCTACGTTACTTTTTTTGTATAGATTTCAACATCAATTACAATACAAAAAAAAACTTAGAACGAAAACTGCATAACTTGCAACATCATTAAGCAAGAATTAGGTATTGATATGTTCTTAAGAATTTAGCATCGTCCTAATCTGTATAAAAATGAGTTTCGCTCTAAAATTACTACATCTGATCATTAAATTAGTTTGCTAAAAACATTAAATTAGATAGGTAGCCTACTATGTACTGTACAACGAACACTAAATGTTAGTATACAATTTTTTTTATAATAATTACATTTTACATGGGTCTATAAACGAGTTTTCACAAAAAAATTATGTACTTCGGCAAGAAAAATATCAATTATTTTCACTGACAAATAATGGAAATTTTCAAATTTTATACACACTTCAAAATTTTCTAGTGTGCCTATATTTACAATAAAATTATTACAAAAAAAAGCTTTTCATTGTTTCAAAGAGCGCGCAGCCAGTTTCATTATTTTACAACGGACTTTAATTTAATTGTGTTCTTTACAAAAGCAATACTCTATATTGAAAAGACAGCGACCCCTATTCATATCACGGGAGAGGATCTAAAATATCCGAGTAATACAAAAATACTATTGGCTATTATTTTCCTTATTGAAAAATATAGGTTTTCTTTTTTGTCTAAAACAGCTTCTACTTAATCCTAGGGTACATAGAACGCATCCTTTTGATATAATAATTCAAAAAAAAACGCATAGTTATTATTGCACTCTTTAGCTTTAGACCTTCTTCGTAGTCACTTTATTTTTCCAGGGTTTGAGCTGATGCAGCTCCGTCTCCAAGATTAAATCCTCGCCGGGCTCCGATGGTTTAGGCGATATCGCCGAAACTGCGATGTAAGCCGTCGGGTTTTTCTTAAGATGAGCTGGCTTACCTGAAACTGCATCATTTTCAACAAAGATTTCGCTAATAGATAGAAGGAGATATTTAGTTTTATGGGGTTTGATACAAAATAATAGATAGATATCTCAAAAATCGCTATGAAAAAGTCAATTCAAACTCATTATCAGTAAACAAGATATTATTTACCAGTTACTTTATGATATGCAAAATTCTTCTGTGAGTTCCTATTTTCGCTGTTCTTGCCCCCTTTTTTCAAAAAAGCTATTTGCGTACTTGCAGCTGAACCAACATTTTCTATGTCGTCAAACGTTGGCCACTTTATGGTTGTTGAATCAAACTTATAATGATTAGAAATATTATTTTCGATTTTCCTTTTCATGTTTGTTTCCAAATATTCTTCCTCCAGTTGCTTTTGGTGCCTCAAAATATTATCGGAGCTGATTAGGTCTTGGTCTAAGCTTCCTAAAATAAAATAATCGTGTAAGCAAAATTTCAAAAACAAAGTTAAAAATTGATTACACTTTATAAATTGTGCAAAAGCCTCGACTCTAACTTTCTGTTTATCCCATAATGTAGGTAAAGCTCAAGATTATGAATTTTCTAGTTTTAGCTTTACCCCTTATTGCCTGACTGACCTTTTAAAATGTATAAAATTTTAATTAGTTTTTAGGAGGAGTAGGCGTAAACATTCTAAATAACAAAACAATTGTTACAACTATTACTGCAATAATACCCAAAAAACTTAAAATGTATTGAAAATTAGCCAAACAAGGGTAACACTCTTCCACAAAACTGTCATCACTTTTTTTTGATTTTACACTTATTTGATCATCGTCTTGTGTTTCTATAAGCGCAATCGACTCCATCATTTGTTAAACTGGCTTATTTTTAGAGCCTTTGATGAGACACCTCTTAATTAAGGTCAACAGAACGGGTCAATAAAATGTATCGCTTTCAATTTAAATATTAATTAATTAACCCGTTGACTTTGCAGTCTAATGGGATCTCAAAATAGCTTTAATATTAGAACAAAGGGCTTTGAATTTGATATAATTCGGAAATGAATACTCACTTAAAATTTTGTGTATTTGTCTCCATCGGTCCGGGTAACTGACGATTTTTGCTAGGAGATCCAATAATAGTTGTGTAGCATCCGTATTATTGTTTTCGGTAATCTGAAAAAGGCAAAAATAACTAAATAAAATGGATTTTGAACAACGTAGATCCAATCCCATTACAGTTATACGTTCTGAACTGGATAATTTTTGAAAAATTCGAACTTCACCTTCCTTGAAACAATTGTAGTTGTAGTGTGTTCTGAAATTTTTGTCTCATTTGGTATTATAATAGTGTCAACTACTTAAATAAATACCACTCTGTACATCAATACCGCGCCGATATCCATTACTGGCAGACTAAGGCTAATAGTACAGTCATACAAGGATTCATCTACTGAAAAAATCCGAGTGAGCCTAAATTTTGTCTACACTTTTAATTAATGTATAAAAAGTCCCCACCGATATCTTGTTTCCGTTCCAAGATATTCAAGGTAAAATATCACAGAAATTAGTTTTTCTTGAATATTTTGCTTTCGGTATGTGTTGGAAACATGTTCCAACAATCATGCTATCTCTTTTTGATGGCAAAATATTTTTATACATATAAAGTTTGCAACACTGCAGCGTTGTCGTCATGTCTATTTTGTCATGTCTGTCAATATATTGCGCGCCATTTTTGTCATTGCAGCAGTGTAGCTTGGAGCTTGTCCACGTTAACAAGCATCCAGAAACCTTTTCACATTTTAATAAATTTTATAATCTAGCTCTGCCCTGTTGGGCATCTAAGCAAGCTCTGGCTTCTTGTCATCTTGTAGTAGTAATTGTAAATAGTGTAAATATTGTGTAAATTGTTGTAAATATAGTGTCAGTGAAAAGCGCGTGTGTTTTAGTTCCCTATCCAGTCGATCATCCAGTCCACCTAATTATACAGTCCACTAATTATCAAGTTATTTATCTTCCATTATGTGGTTTTGCACATAATTTTGGCCAGTTCGAGCCGGATACTGGATAGTTCGGAACCTAAAAGTGCTTTAAAAACCCTCAAAAAGTGCCTTTTTAGTGGTTATTGATTGTTCCATCGTGATTTTTGGCGCCATGTGATGCAAAAAATCAATCATCCACTGTGCAGTCTGCACGTGTCTCAAACAACGTTGGGTTCCACGTGCCACCAGCGAAGGTTTCCGCCGGAACCGGAAGTGCGTAAGTAGAGTGGGGCGGAGCAAACAAACTTCACTTGTCAAATTCAAAAGGGTGCTTCTTTTTCTCGTCTGGTTCAACCCAAGTCACCCCGGGTGCAGTATCCTTGCTTGGTGCAATGAAGTACAGCCCCGGAGCAACGAACATGAAAGTGAGAGTTCACCACCCCGACAGCTTAACCTCAAATTAAATGTCAAACATTTGTTTACGTTTTGTTGTTTGTTGTTTGTGTATTTTGGATTTTTGCAGTGAATTTGAGTGAATTTGCATTATTTTTGAAAAACTGAATTTTTCGCATTAATTATTGCTATTTTTTCATTATTTATTTAAAGGATGAACAATTATCCGTTTTTCGTTTTGTTAAGTAGTTTTTAAAAAAAAAAAATCTAATTTACTAGGTAATTTTAAATTTTGTTTATAGATTTCTTTTGATATTTTCTTATTTTTTTGATTGTAAACTTTGTAAATATGGCTACCAAAAAGCAAATTGATAAATTATTGTCAAAGAAAAAGCAAGCAATCGACTCCATGGTTAGAATAAGTCGTTATATTTCCGATCACAAATCTGATCCTGACAGTGAGTATAAAACCGACCAATTTTTAGTTCGGAAGGAAATATTGCAGGACAGTTTTCAAAAGCTTAAAGACATTCAAGTTGAAATTCTGTGCCTTGATGGTAACTATGATGATTCAATTGATGATGTAGAAACTCTTTTTTATGATGTCATTGTAAGTATTAAAAATTGTTTACCTAAATCTAATTTACCAGGACCAGCTAATACTAGTAATTTAGCAACTAATATTGCTCAATCGGTTTCAATTCCACCTACTCAAAGTAATAATTTTATTTCTGCTGCTAAATTGCCCCCAATCGAGATACCTACCTTTGATGGAAAAAATTTAACCAATTTCAAATCTTTTATCGATATATTTAATGCTGTCATCGATAAAAATCAACAGTTAAAAGATGTTGAAAAGCTCTTTTATTTGAGAAATTATTTGAAGGGTGAGGCTTTAAGCTTAATTGATAATCTGCCACTAATAAATTCTTCATATCAAGGTGCCATAGATATTTTAAATAACAGATTTAATAATGAAACTATGATCATAAATTCACATATTTTTTCTATTTTGGATATTCCTGCCATACAAAAAGGTACAGCTCATGCACTTAGAGATTTTGTAAGTCGCATCAAGCAGCAAATTGGAGCTCTCAAAAACCTAGCCCAGCCTGTTGACAACTGGGACATGGTGATGATTTGTATTTTAAGTAGAAAAGTTGACCAATTTACCAACAGAGCCTATCAAATAGATCGTGATAGTTCCAAATTGCCGACTTTGGATGAATTCTTGGCCTATTTAGAAAATAGAGCTACAGCCTTAGAGGCAACTAGTAGTACCCCCCAGCATAAAACTAAAGAAAAGGTTTACGGTTTATTAACAAAACAAACCAATGTAAAATGTCCCTTTTGTTCAATATCTGGACATAAACTGTATAATTGTAAAAAGTTCAAATCCGTACTAGTAAAGGATCGTATATCTTTTGTCGACAGACAGAATTTTTGTAAATTATGTTTGAATATTCATTCTGGAAAGTGTATAATGTTGTTTCGGTGTGGTATGTGTCAAAAGGAACACAATACCCTGCTGCATTTGGACAAGCAATGTGAAAATAATAATTTTCCTACTGAACGCAGAGTCATGTATTCCAATGCCTCACAGCAAGAATCTGTACTTTTACCTACCTTAAAAGTAAAAATTAAATCTAATAAAGGCAAATATATTTACGCCCGAGGTCTGGTTGACACCGGCTCTCAGATTTGTTTAGTAACAAACAGTTTAGTTGAAAAGCTAGGATTAAAAGCCTTTAATAGTTCTTTGAATATCACTGGCATATCGGAGACTAAAACTAAAATTAATAAATCAATAAATTTAAATATTGAATCTTTGGTTTTTGATTATTCAAAAAACATAAAGTGTGCGCTTGTTGACACTATTACAAGCAATTTGCCTAATGTAAGTTTTGATATTTCAGAGTTTGAAACGCCTCGGAATATTCATTTGTCTGATGACAGTTTTTACCGCTCGGGACCGATTGATTTTTTATTGGGTGCAAATGTGGCGTTTGAAATTTTTCTCTCGGAGAAGCTTAAATGCAACAATATATATTTTCAAAACACCCTATTCGGTTATATTGTAAGCGGTGCAATTTCTGCTTGTGCAAATGTCACATGCAATTTTTTTGCGTTTCACGCGACCTATTCAGATCTTGAAAAAACCATGTCTCAATTTTGGGAAACTGAGAAAGTCCCTGAGATATTTCCAGAATATCCCAGCGAGCAAGAAGCTTGCGAGTCTTGTTTTCAAAATTCTCTTGAAATAATAAATAACCAATATCAGGTGAAATTGCCACTAAAACAAACTGACATAAATTTGGGGGATTCATTTTCAGTGGCTATAAAGCGCTTTGAAAACCTGGAAAAAAGATTTAGAGTTAATCCTGATCTTTTCTCACAATATAAGAGTTTCATGGATGATTATTTGAATTTAAATCATGCCAAAATTGTCAATTACCCTGTAGAGGAGTTAACTAATGGTTCGATTTATTTCATGGCGCATCACCCCGTTATAAGGGAAGACAAAAAAACCACCAAACTCAGAGTTGTCTTTGATGGCAGCATGAAATCGAAACAAAAGAAATGTATAAATGACTTCTTGTACAATGGGGCAGTAGTCCAGAAAGACTTATTCGATATTCTTGTTTGCTTCAGAACTTATAAATTCGTAATTTTAACTGACATAAAACAAATGTACCGCATGGTTTTAATTCACCCGGAACACCGGCCATTGCAAAACATTCTGTGGAGAGATCATCTCGGTTCCTTACAGTATATTCAATTACAGACAGTCACCTATGGCTTGAAAAGCTCGTCTTTTTTAGCAACGAGGTGTTTGGCTGAGCTGGCTCACTCAGAAGGTAAAAAATTCCCTCTCGCAGCAAAAGCTCTTTTAAATAATACATACGTAGATGATATCTTATCGGGTTCTGACACAATTGAAGAGACCATAAAGCTTAGAGACGAATTAATTTCTTTATTGGGTTCACGATCATTTTTTCTGCATAAATGGTGTACCAATGAACCAAACATTTTGAGTGGCATCCCTAAAGATAAACAAAATTTCGATGAGGTTGATATGAGTAAGAAT